AAGGTAAGAAAGTAATCTTCAGTAAGGGCCATGGAAGTTTCAGGGATGAAAACAGATTCAATCCCATTCATGAAAACATTATTCATTGCCTGCTGTGTGTGGAGGGCAGTTTGGCATAGTGGCTAGAAAGCTAGTCTCGAAGCCAGAAGAATCCAAGGTTCAAGTCTCACCTCTGATTCATACTGACTCTGACCCATGTTAGTGCTCCAAGGCAATTTTCTGAGACTAAACATTTCAGAGAAGGTGCTGACCTGCATTGGTAGAGGAAGCTTCCTTACCTGGGAGTCTCCTATGCCAATGAAATCATAGATCCAGTCCCTATCATGATCCCTACTATGTGTGAAGTACAGGATAAAATCTTCCATTGTATTGCAGAAGTGACAAACATTCTGGCACTTATTTCCAAGACTAGCACATAGCGCTTCCATTCGTTCACCTAGCATAATATTTTTCATTGTAAGCACTTTATACTTGCTTTTCAATTCATTCATTATCCTAGCATAAGGACTTTGACAGAACAGGCATCATAAATGGTTAATGAATTATGAATGTGAGGAGGGGAGGTACAGCTGAAAGAGTGCTGTTGAACTAGAGCTGTGGGCTTCAGTCCAAGTGAAGCTTTATCCTTCACATTTAAAATCTGGGAATTCTTGGTTTGTCCTGTCACCTTTCTATTGATGTCTTAGTTTCATCTCCATTGAGATCTTTTTTTGTTCTGTGTTTCAGTAACCTTCTGTGAAGGCAACTGGCTAGTTTAGGGAACCTCAGTCTGAAGGCTTATTTAGATTTCATGTTGTATGGGTAAGTGAGAGAAAGAACATATCCTAATTTTGAATTGTCTTCCTTTGATTTTAAATGGACACCTATGTATAAATCTGGGGAATGTATCTTGTCATATGGATCGGAAGGTCCCCAGGTGAGTGTGTAGGTTTATTAAGATGCTTTCACAACAATTTGGACAAGGGTTTAGACACATCCCTAAAGTCGCCTGTCTGGGTTTTAGGTGTCTTCCTACCTCCTCCCTGTTATGCCTCCTGCTCATAAGTTGGTAGTCCAGGGCAAATAAAATATCTTATATCCTGCCCAGAAGTCACCAGCAGTTCAGTTAAATGACTCCAGATGAAGCCAGGTGTCCCTTACTTGAGACAAAGGTGAGATGGACTGAGTTAATTTTCTTCATTAGCAATTAAACACATAACAAGCCCACAAAGATGGATTACTTTGTTGCTTAACCCAAGAAGAGCCCAAATGACTGGTTATTGCTCTGTCACAGCAAGCAGCTGTCTCATATTCTCTGTGAAAAGTCAATCAATAAACATTTAGTAAGCACCTACCATTTAACAGGCACTGTGCTAAGTGCTCAGAATACAAAGGTAAAAGATAACGTGTGCATAAAAAACTCCAGGATAGGGGTTCTTAACCTCTTTTGTGCCATTGACCCCTTTGGCAGTCTGCTGAAGTCTAGGGACACCCTTTCTCAGAATAATGTTTTTAGTCTGCATAAAATAAAATGCATGGGATTTCAAAGGAAACCAGTTATATTAAAATATAGTTATCACATTTTTTTTAAAAATTCATGGACATCAGGTTAAGAACCCCTGCCTAGGAGCTCCTTTTCTTTCATGTTATAGCAAACTGTCCTCATTGATCTTTGAGATGAAGTCCTTCTGGAGAGGAAAAGATGCCTTCTGTTCAGTATTGTCAACCTGTCTCACAATGAATAATGTCACATCTTTGTATAGCCTGTGGAATTTCCCCAGGAGCTATTTTCATAAGGGGAATGAAATGATCCTGGGTAGGGGGTCTAAAGACTCACACTCCCCAGAAGCCTCTTTCTTGGGCATCTCTGACAGAGAGTGACAAGCAGTTGACTGTGGTCTCAGGAATTTACCACCACAGGTTCCCACTTCTCTTACCGGTTGAGAAACGCAGACTAGAAAGTTTCCCTGGGGTCTTTGTAGCAAATGGAGAAGGGTAGAAAAAAAGAGCACATTCTATTCTATTTCTACCTCTTCACTGATCATTCTTAGTTTCTCCCAACCCTCTCAATTCCCACCATCATGTCAGCAAACCTTGTCTCCATTGGCTGACCTCATCATCATTCCTGTTGAAATCTAGGGGCTAAGGAATTAATTGAAAGTATGTAGTGTTCAATTATATAAGAGTTCAGACATTTTTGGATCAAGTCGATGAGGGGACAAATGGGATCTTAGTAAACAATCTAATCAGAGTCTCTTATTTTTTCTAATAAGGAAATCGAGATCCATAGAAGTAAAGAGATTTTCCCAAAGTCACACAGTAAGTTAGTGGCAATGTTGATATTAATTCCAAGATATTTGGAAGGAGAGATCAGAAATGATGGATGCAAGAGTTTCAAAGAAATCCTTTTCAAGTTAGGTTGTTCTGGGAGTGTATCTAAGCATCACCCAATATCTTCCATTTACCATCCCTCCTGCTGTTGCTTTTGATGCCCTCAGAATAGTAGTAAGATTCAGGGAAGATGACAGAGCCAGAATTCAGTATTGAGAAATTGCTATGAAACTTAGGCTGAACCTGAGTCTCTGAGCTTTAAAGCTATTCTGAGAATCAGCTTCAGTATGGAATGGACCTTGCTGTCACTCTTGCAGCATTTATCTAATATTTCCTTGAACATGGGGAAAGAGGGGACATCGAAGTAGAGAACAAACTGCTCTTTCTACTAGCCTTGTATAGATTTGACCACAGGGATAACTGGCTGGACATGTTGGGTAGCTCAGCTCAAGGTATCAAGGCAGATAGGGATCGTTCTCTGGATGTCCTACCCCCACCCTCTGTGCTGCTATGAACTCAGCTTAGAGCTGGAAGAAACCTCAAAGGTCAACTAGTCCAATCCCTTCATTTTCTAGCTAATGAACTGCTAATCAGAAGGGTTAATTAACTTGGCCAATGCCATGTAGGCAGTAAGTAACAGTACTGGGAATTGAACTGAGGATCCTCTGATTCCCAATCCAATGTTCTTTCACTTCTGGAGCAAATAAGACCCTACTTGCTTAATGAGATGAGTTTAATAAACCCTCCCCTCTCCAATACACAGCACATCTTGCCTACATACGTAAATGGTGCCCAAATACCCTCCATTAGAGATGCCCCAAATGGACTCTCTTGATGGAGAAATAGAACACATCTGTATCCCAGAGGCTTACAGATCAGTACGGTGTTAGAATGCTGGGATCCTGCACTTCCCTTCTATAAAAATACAGTGTCTGGGAACTTTTAAGCCCAGTGGTTTATGTATAAAATTATGTCTCATATATCTTGGTCTTTTGTTTTCAACATAAAAAAAAGTTGTTTTTTTTAAATTTTCTTTAATTTTTTTTTTCTGTAAGATCTGCATGGTAGTGAATGCCAACATCAGGGTCCAAGTATAATTTTTTTTCTCTTGTTGCTCCTGTCTTCTTTTGAAGTTCAGGACTTTCCCATTCATGTTCTCCGATGGGTTTGCTCATATTCTGTCATGGTGAAACTGAGTAGTTGTCATTTCTTTTATGGACTTTTGAGATGAGTCCACTGGTTTTCTGATGCTACCACTAAGCCTTCTTTAAATGTAACTGTAGGTTACTCTGAATGCCTGTGCAGAGGGTTTGCTACTGATTTGTGACCTGGGAGGCAACAGAGGGCATGTTGGACTTGTACTGTATAGTGGGAATGGATAAAAAAGTGCATGTGTGATGATCTGGGATCCCCACAAATTGACTTTCTCTGGCTTTAAATGAATTCCTTATATTGGTACTGCATCGATTCCTGCCTGTTAAAAAAAAACTTTTAGCCTTTACCTTAACAGAGGTACAACTATACTAACTGGTATTTTGTTCAGTGATTGCCCAAGTGGGGATCCTCGGAAATCCTCGGAAATCCTCTGCCGTACAGTTCTTAAGCTGGCTATTTTCTGGCTCCAGATGTTGACTTTGCTTCCTGCCTATGGATAATCTGCTTCTCCTTCCCTCTCTACCCCCACCCAGTCTTCTCCATTCCATCTTCCTCTTCTCCATTTGATCCTGGCCTAAGGATGACTTCTGGTTGACCCAATTGCAGCCCTCTTTATCTCCATTGACAGCTTTGAGATGCTTATGATGCTTTCCTGCTCCCCACTCACCACAAATCTTGGCACTTTCCCACCCTGATCATTGATTAATATCCTTGATGGAAAGCCAATGGAATCCGTGTACCAGTTTGTATAGTAGTGCCCCTTTTTGAACTCTTGACCAAAGTAGAGTGTGCTGGAGGTTTGCATTGGCTGCTTGACACACACAAAGACAATTAACCTGCATGCCAGAAAATTAACCCTTAGAGTACTGCTTCAGATTTCACCATGTCTTGGGTGGTTAGGATTTAATTTTCTCTGTGGGCTAGTCTTTTCTCTCAAGCTATGGGAGTCACATGAAAAAGTTTATAGTCAGACTATCTAGAACAGATATGAGAATCTTTTCTTGGTCACTTACCCAGAATGTTTTGGGGCCCTTTTTAATTAAATACCTAATCACCTAAACATCCACCCCCTTCCCACACACAACAGCAGTATTTAATTCCAAATGGGATGTATGCCTAAGCTGCTTTAGTGGGTGTGAGGGACTCTTCTTAGCTTTAATGTGTATTCTCCCAAAGAGAGAAGTCAGTTCTTTAAGGGTTAATGTAAACTTAAGGAATTTAGTCATCTCTCCTGCTTGTTCTTCCTCTGAGGTATCTGCATGATCCTCTTTAGATTTTTAGCTCAACCTTTGAATGATTAAAATGAATCACAACCAACCAATAAATAGACAATGGGGGGGAAAGAGCAAAGACACTGAATGGTTGAATGGACAGACTCATTGGCAATGCTTGCTTGTATTTCCTAAGAGGTTGAAAGACCAAATGTCTAACACTTGTTTTGTTCCCTTCCCTTTCTCCTGAACCCCACATTTTAGAGAACTGGAGCCCCAACACCTTTTACTTACCTCTTGCATTTTCTTCTCCTTGTCTAATAGCCCGATAGAATCCTGTCAGAATTTCTACAAAGATTTCACATTACAGATCGACATGGCTTTCAACGTGTTCTTCCTTCTCTACTTTGGCCTGCGGGTAAGTGCCAAGAGGATGATGCTTACTCTTGGGATGGGCAGAATCTGGGAAGCTTGTGTGCCTGAGTGGGTGGGGAGGGATTGGGGGGGGGTGGGTTGGGAGTGGCAGTGGTGACATCAGCCCCAGCTTCTATCCTCTTGGGCAGGAAGTCCAAGATATACAGCTAAGGTTTCTCTGCATTCTAATCTCTAGTCTCCGAGAGGACCCTCTGCCATCTGAATGTTTCTTCACTGAAGTATTGAAGGTCCAAAGAGGTTATCTGTTAAACTGGTTGTATCTCTACTATTTGCTTATCTGTTTCCTGATCATTCATATAAAGCTGTTCCCAACAAATATTTGAAAGGAAAAAAAATTCTCCTTTATTTTTAGCCAGTTAGTCAACAAGCATTGGTTAAGCACCTACTATGTGCTGGACACTGTGCTAACCACAGGGGCAGCTAGATGGTGCAGTGCATAGAGCATTGGGCCTGGAGTCAGGAAAACTTGAGTTCAAATCCAACCTCAGACACTTCCTAGCTGTGTGATCCTGGGCAAGTCACTTAACTCCTCTTTGCCTCAGTCCCTCATTTCTAAAACGAGAACAAGCTAGAGAAGGAAATGGCAAACCACTCCAGTATCTTTGCCAAGAAACCCACTCCATGGGGTCATGTAGAGTTGGACACGACTGAATAAGTAAACAGTAACAACAAAAATGGTAGCTGCTGGGATTAGAAACAGAATTAAAGTTAGGGTGAGGCAGCTAGGTGACACAGTGAAGAATAGTAACAATAATAAACAATAAACATTTATATAGTATGTCCCAGGCACTGTGCTAAGCACTTTACAAATATAGGTACTCACAATACCTGTGGGAAGCACCTATTATTATCCTCATTTACAGATGAGGAAACTGAAGTAGACAGAGGTTAAGTGACTTGCCGAGGGTCACACAGATAGTAAGTTTCTAGGATTTGAACTCAGGTCTTCCTGACTTCAGGCCCAACACTCTATCCACCTGGCTGTCTAGGGTAAGTGACATGCTCAAGGTCACATAGGTAGTATGGGTGAGAGATAAGAATTTAATTCATGTCCTCTGCCTCCAAATCCATTGCTCTTTCCACTGTGAAAACATGGGGGCTAGCTTGGGTACTTAACCTAGACCCACCATGTTAAGAGACTTTTTTTTTTATTTGACAGAATCTGTGATGTCATAGGTATTCGAAACTTTCCATGTGGAAATTCCTTTAGCAGAGGAGATCTGCATCTGCTCTGCAAGATGACCCCATTGTTTCATTGCCATTTCCTCAGACTCCAAGTGTGCTCTTTGGAAATGGAGGTCAATTCTAGCCTGGATTCTTCTCTCATATCCTTCTTTCCTTCCTTTCTTTCTTTCTCTCCCGTCCTTCCTTCTGTCCTCTCTCTTTCTTACTTAAAAAAATTAACCTGACCTAAGTATTGGAAATTCCTGTTGTGGACATTTCCTTTATCTACGTATATCTAGATCTGTTCTGCAAGCTGCCTGGGAACCTGAGAAGCTAAATGCCTTACTCACAGCTCCCCAGTCACTATATTATAACAGCAGGACTTGAACGCTGGGCTTCCTGACTCTGAGACCCACTCCCTATCTAATGTGCCATACTGTCCCAGCAGACTTTAAATACCCAGCATTAACAGCTGGTAGCTCCATGGTGGAAGCATATTGTTTTGTAGATGTTCTGCCCCCACACCTCCTCTTATGAATAAGACATAAACAAGATATAATTCCAAGAGACAGTATGAAAAGTGACAGTGGATAGACAGCTGACCTTCGAGTCAGGAAGACCTAGATTCAAGTCCCACTTCTAATATGAATTAGCTGTGTGACATTGGACAAGTCACCTTACCACTCAGTGCTCCCAGGTGACTCTCCAAGACTCCAAGATACAGAACAGTTCTAGGGGCAGGGGTATGTTGGGACCACGAGAGCTGATTGTTAAATTTTCAGTGGGAGCGTTTACACCTCTGAAAGTAGCAAACACTACAAATCAGGGCTTGAATTATTGTTCTGCATATGGTCTCAACTTAAGAAAGTGATGGAGAAAATATTAATCATGCATATTAAACTTAAAAGTATGTTATGCATACATTTTTTTCTGAGTCAGAGGGTTGTTAAACATTTGCCATTGTATGCCCCCAATGCAAGTTGTTTATACTATTGAAAGTCCAGATCTAGTTCAAAGAATGGTTTTGAGAAGAGTTTGGTATATGTGTATGCCTGTGGGGCTATATACATTTATTTAAATTAGAAATTCAGGGGATTTGATGTTGGGTGCTCAGATGGTAGAGCTGTGACCCTAAGCCTCTCTGATGTTGGGCAATCAAGTTAGCCCACGATACTCTCAGTAGTCATAGACAAATACCATATATGGCCTGGTCCCTCTCCATGGGCTGAACTGGCACAGAGCTCATACAGAAGACTGTGTCTTAGAGGCAAGATGAACCCAATGTTTAACTGCCACTTCTGTAAATTCCCCAAGTGTGCCCTTTGGAAATGGCAGTGGAGATTAACACCAGCTCCGATGCCTCTCATGTGTTTTCTTTTTCTCTCCATTCTTTCCCCCCAGTTTATTGCAGCCAACGATAAGCTGTGGTTTTGGCTGGAAGTGAATTCAGTAGTAGATTTCTTCACAGTCCCTCCTGTGTTTGTGTCAGTGTATTTAAACAGAAGTTGGCTTGGTAAGTACTTCCTTGCTTTTTCCCTCACGTCATTGGTATCCAAACTAGTGCTCTTAGCCTTGAGCAGAGAAGAAAAAGGTAGGTTGCCTTTTTGGAAATGCTTGATCCACAGCCAGACCCATTTTGGATGTTGAACTGAATGGTTTTGTCTTTTGAGCCCTGGAGTCTGATAGGAATAATTCCCCATGAAAGTCCAACTCCAACCCTAATTGATGGGCCATTTTGTATTCAGGTAAGAGTACCGGGTTGTTGGTGAAGACAGAGAACTAAGGGGATCTTTGCCCAATTAGAGCTGGACAGAGACCCACAGACCCAGAGACAGCTTTGTGTTTGTCCATTTTCAGGGGCATCAGCTAGTCAATAAATATTTATTAAGTGTCTACTGTGTGTCAGGTACATCTTGAGACAGGAGTATGATCCTGAATGATGGTAATCAGTCAATAAACTTATATTAAGCCCGTACCTTGTACCAGGCACTTTGCTAAGCACTGGGGATACAAAAAGAGTCAAAAGACAGTCCCTTCTTTCAATGAGCTTACAATCTCATGGGGGAGCCAATAAGCAAACATGTACAAACCATCTATATATAGGAGAAACAGGGAGAAATTAAGAGAGGGGAGACTCTAGGATTAAGAGGGATTGGGAATGGCTTCCAGTGGAAGGTAAGATTTTAGTTGGGTCATAAAGGAAACCAGGGAAACCTGGAGGTGCAGAAGAGGAGGGAGAGCACCAGAGAAATGATCCCTTGTCTTTCCAGGTACTGCTTCCTGACCAAGCTTTTTGCCTCAGTCAGTCAATAATCATAGAGTAAGTGCCTCCTTTGTGCCAGGCACTCTGCTCAGCACTGGGAGTACAAAGAAAGGTGAAAGACAGGCCTGTCCTCAAGGAGCTCACAGGCTACTGGGGAGAGAATATGAAAGCAAATGTGTACAAATACTATGTATCAGGATAAAATTGGAGATAATCAACAGAGAAAGCACTAGAATTAAGGTGGATGGAGAAAGGTTTGTGGTAAAAGGGGTGATTTTAACCGGGACTTGAAGGAAGCCTGCAATTAGTGATGGCATTCTTTAATAGGCAGCTAAGCAATATAACGAACAGAGTGCTGGGCTTGTCATCAGGAAGACCTGTGCTCAATTCCTGCCTGTATGACCCTAAGCAAGCCACTTAACTTATCTCAGGACAGGGATAATCATAAAACCTACTTCTTATGTTTGTTGTGCAGATAAAATTAAATAATGATGCAAAGTGCTTTGTGGATCTAAAAGCACACTATCAAAGCCAGCCATTACGATTATCATCATCATTGTTATGACATACTATAAGCCAAACATTTTCCATGTTCTATGTTAAAATAGAAATACTCCTGAAAAAGGTAATGCAGTAGTTCTCTGCCATTTTAAATTTATCTTGAGTGTATCGTCTCTTCTTGAAAACCAGTTTTGAGACAGAAGAGGGGTGGGAGCAGAGCCTGAGAGTGCTGGGAACTTGGGTGGAGCGAAGAGGGCCACAGAGGGAGCAAAAGCATACAGAAGCAATAATGATGATGGCAAAGACAGACTCTTCCTACTTCAAGCATTTTGGAGGGGTGTCCATATGTGGGTCATTTAAAAAGAGAGAGATGGCTACCATTCAACACAAATATATATGTGTGTATACACACACGTGTGTATATGTATATATATGCATGCATGTGTGTATTTATGTGTATGTGTATATGTATATGTGTGTATATGTATATATGTATGTAAAATCATTCTATACATATTTCTATTTATCAGTTCTTTCTCTGGAAGGAAGAAAAAAGAAAAAAACAGTTACATTATAACTTTATTATTTATTTAAAAGGAACAAAAAGTTGTACGTAATGGATTTGCAGTTTCATGGGCAATCATCTTTTTTTATTCTACTATGGTATGAAAATGATTGTTCCATTTCATAAGTTCAAAATAAAATAAATAACATTTTAAAAAAGAAATAGAGACTTTCAGACAGTATGATATAATGAAAGATGCTGGCCTTGAGTCAGAGGAGCCAGGTTCAGATCTTGCCTCTCTTGTTCACCACTTGCATGTACTTGCAAATCCTATCACTTCTCTGGGCCTCAGTTTCATCTTCTGTAAAATGGCAGCTGAGCATTTGTGAACCCATGACCTTCTCCTTGCCAGGCACTCAGTCATAGCTCCAGAAAAATCATAGATTTCGAGCTAGAAGGAACCTTAGAGGTCTTCTCATCCAACTGTCTCATTTTACAGATAGGGAAATTGAGGCCAAGAGAGGCTGCATGATTCATTTAAGGTTTAAGTGACGTAAGAGCCAGGATTTAACTGAGATTCTGTGACCCCAAGTTTCTATCTCTTTCTACCCTGCCATGTTACTTCCCTCAGAAGTTTAATGTCCAATTCACCTTTGAACAACACATGGAGGAGAAAAATTTTCCCTCTGCTTCTTCTCAGTTTGTTAAACTGCTGACATAGGCTCTGGTGGAGTATTTGGGTTCAAACTGCCACGACTTTCTGGATTGCCAGCTCCATCTTGTTTCTATGTTGTCTGTTCTGCACTGAGTGATCAGAGCTCTCTCTAAAGTGAGTAGGTGGGGAGTAGTACTGTCTTTTAGTCCTGGTGAAGAGTGAGATCTGGGCAGCTGAAATGAAGAACTTGGGAGATTATTTATGGACAATTTGAAGTTTGCCTTTAAGTCTAGCACATAAAATATTGAGAACAAATATCCTAATTCTCTGAGAAGATTCCAGGATTTTTCATCATCTATCAGCCTTGTCATTGAACCTTTAGCGATATCTTGCTTAGTATAGCACTCTACAGTACAGAAAAGACATCCACATATGCTACCTCATTTGATCTTCCCAGCAGCCTTGATAAGCTTTACTAGCCTCGATCATCACCCAGATTGGCCCTCTGTGTGTGGATGTATTCCAGGACTCTGTCCTGGAACATTTTCTGTCTTACTCTTACTCTACCATTTTGAAAATTTGCTCAGTTTCCATGGGTAACCAGCCCTATATTAAAGGGATGGTTTGTGAACATTTCAGAAGAGAGCCTTGTTATTACAAAGAACCAACATTTCTAAGCAAATGACTTCTAGATCTATGTTTCCAGTCCTAGTCTTATCTCTAAATGAGATCAGATTACATCATATTTGTAAAGTGCCTAGCACGTATTAAGTGCCTAATAATGTTTATTCCCTTCCTTTGTACCCTCTAAGCAAATTATTCCTGGGTATATATACACCCAGCCTAATCTTTTCCCTAACCTCCAACACTAATCATGAATTGCCTATAAAACGTTTCTAACAGGATAATCCCATAGGCATCTCGAATTTACATGCCCCCAAAGGAACTCATTATCCTTTCCCCAAACCCTTTGCTATTTCCGTTAACAACATCACCTAGGTATACAACTGAGGTGTCACTGACTTTTTAGTCTTCCTTATTCCCTGCCTTACCCTTGTACCACTACTCACCTACCCCAGACAATCAGTTACCGTGTCCTGTCTCTTCTAGGCGGCTACGTGCAAGGTGGATAGAGCCTTGGACCTGGAGTCAAGTTGACAAGTTCAAATTCAGACTCAGATACTTACTAGCTGAATGACTTTGGGCAAGTCACTTAACTCCTATCTGCCTCAGTTTTCTTATCTGTAAGATAAGGAGAATAATAGCACCTATCCTCCAGTTATTGTGAAGATAAAGTGAGATAGTATTTGTTAAATTCTTTATAAACCTTAAAGTGTATTTATTATGATTAGGATTATGATTATGATTATTGTTCTACTGCATCTTTTGCATCTAATCCTTTCCTCATGTGGTCGCTTTTATAGTTCAGCCCACATCACATCTCTGTGGCATTATGGGGTAGCAAGGTGACACAGTGAATAGAGGGGCAGGCCTGGAGTCAGGAAGAATCATCTTTGTGAAGTTCAAATGTTGCCTCATATACTTACTAGCTGTGTGACCCTGGGCAAGTCACTTAATTCCATTTGCCTCAGTTTCCTCATCCATTGAATGAGCTGGAGAAGGAAATGACAAATCACTCCAGTATCTCTACCAAGAAAAACCCAAATAGGGTCACAAAGGGGCAGACATGACCAAAGCAACTGAAGAACAACGTTGCCTTTTCTTCATAATTGGTTCCCCCCACTTCTAGGCTCTCTCCTCTCCAGTTCATTTTCCACACAGCTGCTAAAGTCACATTTCTAAAGTTCAACATCTTATTCCTTGGCTCTAGTGGGTCCTCCATTCTGAGATTAAACACCATCTCAGGATCTGGCTCCAAGATCTTTTTTTAGACTTAGTTCACATTCGTCTTCCCTAGCCCTCTAGGTCCTGGCCAAAGTGGCTTCTTTGCTATGACCCATACAGAACATTCTTTTCTCCATTTCTCTGCCTCACACAAACTGCTTCCTGGCATGCTCTTCCTCCTCATCTCCTGCCTTTGAAATCAATCCCTAGTTCCATCTGAGACCCAACTCAAGCACCACCTACAACAGGAGGCCTCTACTGAAATACTCAGTGGTTAACTTCCCCGTCCCCAATTCATTGATTTACTTTGTGTATATGTGTGTATACGTGTGTGTATATATCTGTAGCAACTTCTCAGTGTATATGAACATGTTTTTCCCTTCTCCCTTCTAGTAAAATGCAAGCCCTTGGAAGACAGGCATCATTTCCTTTCTGTCTCTGCATCCCTACTCCCTAGTATGTACCAGGCCCTGAATAAATAAATTCTCATTGAATGAATGAATGCTATTGAATCATCTTTGAGGTTCATATTGTGGGACTGCGGTACAAGGAAATTGCCTTTTAGTGAGGTGATTTCAGAACTTTGGTAATGAAACACCCAGACCTACCTTCCTATAGGGGCATAGCTCATCATTAATTTAACACCTGGATTCTCCCATTACACAGGGAACCCGGCATCCTTCAGAAGTTTATAGCTGGCACTGGTGTGCTTGTCTCCCCAGCTAGAGATAAACTAAGTAATCT